CGGACTTCGCAACGTTTTTAACGCTCGTTAATGGCGCACTGATTTTCGTTTTCGGTATGCTGAATTTAGGATTTTTAGTTCAATTCATATCAGTGCCGGTAAGTGAAGAAATCGAAAAAATTCTTCCGAAGAGTTAATTGAAAAACGCTTGACAAATCGCACCAATATAGGTAACAGTCGGTTTTACGACTGCTGCCGCAATGACTATTGGAAGTAGTCAAGTGAAATCGTTGTTGGGCATTAAGGGATCAGCCAATGGGTTCGTTGAATCATGGATAAGTGTTTTCACGAACATAAAAAGCACCAAATTATGGGATACTCTACTTGGTGTGTCAACCATTACTGTATTGCTATGTCTAAAGGTAAAAACATTTGTCGTTTGAGCAATATTCGATATGAAATCGGAACACGTTTAAAGTATCCAAATTGACAAGTCATGTCGGATATGTTGTTAATTATTTTCTGTTGCAATTAGGACAACTTTTTTTCCATTTCAGAACCTGAAGTACAAAAAGAGCTTACGTGATGTTGAGAGTCAATCGGTTTGGAGGAACGAATTTAAAAAGTATTTATCTTTGGGTCGAAATGCGATCGTTGTTATTTTCGGCACGCTGCTCGCATACATCTTGAACGTTTACGATATACATCCGTTTTCATTGACCGGTAAGAATTAAATATCGATTACTAAGATTCTTACTAAGAATAAAATTCTCCGGTTTTACCCGAAGCAAAAAAAATGAATTGAAAAACAAGAAACTTGTTGGGAACTCAATTTATTACTTTTGACACTATCGTTCATCAAACAAAGTGCTTCTCGGTAGAAAAATAATATGAGCCGAATAAATTTGGGCTATTGTTGTTACCGGTACGATTATTGTTATCAATTCGATTAGGATTTGCTTACACTTATCTACACATATTGAAAATCCGCAATCTCATCACGTCGAACAGAAATAAAACATAAACACACTATTCACTCGTCGTAAATGAATGTGTAAATGAATGTTGGTTGTAAAATTTGTATACTTCAGGGGGTAAACGATTTTTTGGACTAACAATAGCGAGGCTTTCAATTGCCTCGAGTGGATTTCATGGCAATTAGTTTGAAATTCAAATGGATTTTGCAAAAAATCTTCTGAAAATTAGGTCAAAATCGATTATTTATTGATCCTAACTTTTCAACATAGATCGAAGCACTTCAGTGTACTCAAAATAAATCAAAGAAAGTTTCGAAGTTTTTTTTACTTTAATTGGCCCTGATCTTCAAAAATCTTCAAATCTCTGTTACACAATTGATATTTATTGGTTTTTCAAAAAAAAAAATCACTCTTACAATTTTGGCTATAATCACCGTACATCGCAAATGATGTCTGAAACTTTGAAATAAGTCGAATTAATTCGAGCCATTTCTATTCATAGGTCAAGTTGCTTCTGGATTACCCGAAATAAAAATACCTCCAATGCACACGACCATTGGAAATCAAACGCTCAACACCCTCGACATGATTACTCACGTTGGCTCGTCAATTATTGCACTTCCGTTGATTTCGATTCTAGAGAGTATCGCTGTGGCCAAAGCATTTTGTGAGTATCACTTTCAAATTGGATTCAACAATGTTGAATTTATTTACATTAATATGATATCATTCTAAAATTTCGAATTATTTTCTTCAACAGCCAAAGGTAAAACGATCGACGCCACCCAGGAAATGTTGGCACTTGGATTGTGCAATTTGGTGGGTGCATTTGTGCAATCGATGCCAGTGACGGGCTCATTTACTCGAACAGCCGTCAACAATGCGAGCGGGGTACGAACAACGCTCGGTGGAATAGTGACTGGAGTTCTTGTTTTGTTATCGTTAGGGTTCTTAACTGGTTCATTTCGATTTATACCAAAATCCACGCTGGCAGCTGTCATCATCTGTGCAATGGTGTTCATGGTGGAAAAAGAAGAGATCAAGGAGATATGGCGATCGAAACGTATGTTCAATCACAATATTCTCATTCTGACTGCAAGGATTCTCATCGGAACTTGTTGTGTTCACAGGTGTCGACATCATTCCCTTCATTTGTACTTTAGTCGCCTGCCTGTTGATTTCCATTGAATTCGGAATTATTATCGGAATCGTTGTCAATATTTCGTTTGTGCTGTATTCCATCGCAAGGCCCGTTATTCACGTATATAATCGTAAGGTTTGTACTACATCAACTTCGTTCAAGACCCAGATGGCGATTAGCAAAATATTTGTAAAAAAAATTGAACTTTCCAGGTTATGGAGCAGGAGCTGTTGGTCCTGATGCCAGATCAAAGTCTGACATTTTCTTCATCGGACCATTTTAAGTACAAAATATTGAAATATGTCGTTCAAAATACACCGAAAATCATTGTAATTGACGGACGCTACGTTCGAACGATTGACGCAACAGTGGCCAAAGTAAGCTCGATTTTAATATTCATTCTAGTCATTTTCCAATCATCATTTTAATCTCAATTGAAA